ATGTCATTGACAGACAAATTCTTTGCGACTGGTCACGAATAACACACTTCCCCCCTCCCCACTCTAGGATGTAAACCAGTACTACTCCAACTTGGCTCTGGCGAACATACAGGGTTCTCCACTGTGGGGACGCGAGTACAGCCTCAGGGGAACCTTCAACCTGTCCGACGCCTCGCCGGCATCACTTCAGAACTCCTGGACAGCTTCAGCGACCGTTCATCCGACAACTTCGAGAAGTACTACCTGTACAACTCCGTTAGCCTCGACCGGTCTACGTGTGACGAGGACTGCAAAGTGGCACAACTGTGTGCCATCAAGGAAGTCGACTATGACAAGTATGCAGACTGTACGAACGCACCCGGGAGTGGTGCAGATACTGTCTCTACGCTAACCAGCTTTGGAATGTTCCTTCTTTTTGTCATGGCAGCTTTTGGTCTTTCTGCCTGACAGCAACATTACCGTTCAGGCATGCTGTAATGATGTGCAAAGAATTATCAAATGTGCTCCAGGAAAGCAACTAAGGAAGGTTGCTGTTAGATGCTTATGCTTCATGGTTTTTAATTTTTTAATCTTACAAAAGCTTGAAATAAATTCACTGATATCAAAAGTGAAAGAAATGGAATGTATTTAGCTTGAAATAACTTTGGGCTAGGATTGGTATGTTTAAAGCTTTTGCTACTGTGAAAGATCTTGGTGAAAACAATGCGTACAGTGAAGTTTTTGTTGTTGTTGCAAATGCTGGAGTTAGACCAAGACACAAAAGAAATAAGGATTACTTTCAGTATGATAATCATGAATAAATGTTACTCTTGACTAGATTTCAAAAATGTCTTCTTCGTAGTTTCTCCCCTGGAAATAAAAGTTATGACCAACATGTTTCCATTTAGAAACGATACTAACAGCAAAATGACGGTAAGCGTTTTTGACAACTACACCATCTGAAAGCATGTCATTTACCTTAAAAACAGTCTATCTTCGAATCAATGCGTACTTAAGATTCAACACCATTATGTGCAAATACGGTCTTCAGAGGCATTTCTTACGACGACACGGCGTCTTGGATACTCGGGTACACGTCGTCAGTTTGGTCTTGGTGGTTGTCTGTGCCTCCCAGATCAGTCGTGGTGAGTAGATGCCCGGTAGAGCCACTTTCCTCTGGTCCATCTCTCTTCCCTTGGTCCTCTTCAACAACTGTCACGATCTTAGGGTGTTGTTCCATGTCACTCTCGGTGATTGGTGCGTGATCACCACTACTGACAGTGATGTTACCATGGTCTGCTGTGCCCGTGGAAACCGCGAGGGGCACAGTTTCACCACTCTCGAGGAAGTGGAGGTTAGGTGCTTGTTCTTTCACCTGTTCCTTCGTCTTCGCACAGGGGCCGATCATGTACACGTTATCGCCAACCTGTGACGGATGGAACATTGATGTTTGGTCATTTATCGGTGGGAGAGCATGTATACGTCTGTAACGTCAACAGGAATTTGGCAAAGAAGACCAGGTCACCCATATTCTTATCAATTATAAAGGTGTTGGGATCCTTAAGGTAGCAGAACACAGTATTAATGGGCGACCCCCGGGACGATGACACGGGTATAGAAAGTAGTGCAGCGAATATTCTTGAAGGCTGGGTAGAAAGCCTGATAAGAGCGTCAGCCAGATGTAAATTGTGCTGTGTGGTGTAGGAATGTATCGGGTTTGAGACTGTGTGATTTGAATTGTGAAGGTTTTGCAGTTCGTGTATAAATGCGCTGTATTGCGCAACTGGCTTTCCGGGTGAGTCGGCTGCAGTTCAGGTCACGTCCGTAGGGGGTGATTTCAAAGTGTACGCTATGAGCAGATACGCCGACAGGATTTTTTGGTTTCTAGATATTTTGTAGTTTGTACCTTCTTCTCAAACATATTCGATTTTCGTATTTGTGAAGTGCACCCTGGTATAATTTTTACCGCGTCGAAGTGAGTCATCTTGGGGTCCTTAACTATAGAAATCCCCATAGGGCGAAAACTGTGTTCTGCTACCTTAACGAATGGTATTCGGTCTACCGTGGTCGGGACGGGCTGTCTTCGGGGCTCTGATAGAGTTTTGCCCGTCCAGCTCAACAGACCGCCTGTGATAATCAAACTCCTGCCGTGAAAAACCTACCGGGAACCTAGCTGAGACGGGCGGGGAAGAGTTCCTGCAGCCCCGACGAAAACCCGCCCAACCACGATAGACTGGATACCAGGTTAGCAAACGAACGGACTGTTTCGATTCACACTCACCTGTCCAATGTCAGTCCATGTATTGTCTGCTTCCACTACCGTCACTACCTCACGGTCTGTGTTAAAACGACTGGCCTGTTCAGATCCTCTGCACACCAGGTAACGCAGTACAGGATGCTCATTGTTGCACAGAACAAAACCTTTGGATTATAAAAGTATGATATGAAACATTACAATCGACCCATACAAATATAATGTTGTCATGGATGATGTAGTTACTAACATCCTGCTACAGAATATTATATGATATTAACAGAATATAATATAATATGATAGTAACAGTATATTATTTTTATCACCAAAATACGGTATCTGATGTAGCATGAATAAATTGTATACATTGCAAATACAGGATGTAAAGAAGTGCAAGATGTCAATCATAGGTAAGTAAGCTTACTGACCAGCATTCTTAGGAGAACTGGGAAGCATCCGAACCCCCAGTCTTCCTGCAAAGGTGTTCACCTTGTGCGTTTTGTCTGGTTCACAGGAAATCCACATGGCCTGTAAACAAAGCAACACACTCAAAAGTTATTACATTCTTCTATACAACAGTGGTTCATTGATGATATTGGTAAATAATAATGATAATAATCATAAAGGAACTTTTGTGAAAGGAAAATGTGTGTATTTTTTTTATATTCCGAAACATGCAATCACAAGACGTGGTGACGGCACACTCAAGTTTTTTCAACTTATATCAATGCCGCCACCAACACAGGGACAGAACAATACTCATTTACACCTGAGTGAAGTAAGGAAAGTCGTGTAAAGTGCCTTTCCCAAGGGCACAAGATCAGTGGCATGTCAGGACTCGAACCCGGGGCCTCTGGTTCCGAGTCGAGAACGCTGCCGCTGCGCCACACGAACTCAATGTGTGTATGTCGATGAAGGTTAGACATCAAGGTAACTAGATACGCCAAAAACAGTTAACAGACACTCAAGCAACTGGATATAGTATGAAAAATGATATCCAGTTGCTTGAGTAACTGTTTTTTGGAGATGTGTGTGTTACAGTACCGTGTCGTCACAATTATCATCCTGGCATCGTTTCTGTAGTGGAG